TTTCTAGGCACTTAAAGCCCTCCCACCCCATTGGTATTTCTCAAAGTATGAGTCTCAGGGAACCTTCATTGATTCTGCTGGGCCACAGGCCAGGCCTAATCAGTGCTCTGTCATCGGACTCCCTGGGTTAGGGCTAGGAAACCTCCTTGCCAGAAAGCTCCTGGGTGACTCTTCCATGCACCAGACTGGGTGGCCCACTGCCCCAGAAAGAGATTCTCTGTGTTGGACAGCTCGGTTAGACATAACACTTTAGAGCAAAAGGTAAAGGGAGCGCCAGGGAAATGCAGTTCAGTGTACCCACCAGCACCCAGCAAATCTGTGGCATAGCTGGCTTCATCCTGGCATTTCCTCAGTGAAGGGCGGGGTGGATTCTTCTAGGCAGGAAAATTATAGGATTCCTTAAAGCAGACAACAGGACAGTGTCCTGTTGGCCTTCTTTCCAGAGAAAGCCATCTCTGGAACCTCTGTTGAAAAATGCCACCTCGGGGTGCCTGGGTGGCTCAGTCGGTTAAGCAGCTGCCTTCGGCTCAGGTCATGATCTCAGGGTCCTGGGATCGAGTCCCACCTCGGGCTCCCTCCTCGGTGGGAAGCCTGCTTCTCCCTCTCCCTCTGCCTGCCTCTCTGCCTACTTGTGCTCTCTCTCTCTCTGGCAAATAAATAAATAAAATCTTTAAAAAATGCCACTTCAGTCCATCTCAGAACCCAGAAGGAAGGAACTTCCATAGGAAACACAGCGGGTCTGGGCCCAGGGGCCAGACACCTTCCTCCAGCTGCAAAGTCGGACTCTGTCCAAGGCTGCGGGTTCCATGCCATCACACAATGCAGGCCAATTGCACTCACTCATCACAGTGAAACCTGAGTCCTTGCTGCTCCCACCCTCACCCCCAGATAATCATCTAATTAAATAATTCATTATACTGGAAGTAGGCAGGGTGCCTAGGCAGGTCCATCTCCTGCCACTGACTGTTGACTGGAGCCCAGCCTGCTCAGCAGACTAACTATAAAGCATCCCCCACCACCACAAGCACCAAGGGAAACCTGCCTCATGTGGTTTGACTCCAGACTCAGGAAGGCACAAGCAGGTGGGGAAGGTCTTCAGAGGCTTTCTCCCGCTCCCTCTTCTTCCTCCTTCCCCGGCCATTGGGAACCACTGCCACCCAAGGACAGGGCTCTCCACAGAGAAAGCGACACCCATTTGCCTGATGATCTTGTTCACCGGCCTTTGAACTTCACCGCTATTATGCACCCGAACTGCCCATGTTCCCAAGCCCAACCAGGCCACCCAGCACCCGTTAGAGAAAAAGGGAGGGGCAGGAGGTAGGAGGAAGAGCTGGAGGTCCCAGGATGCCAGCCCACCAGCCCACCCCGCCGTGACCTTCAAAGCTCGTCCTGCCCCTGCGCCCTTGGCCTGCAGCGGCGAGGGGACCTGGCCACCCCGGCCCTCTCCCACCTGCTTTCCTCAGTCTGTGCTGGGCTAAGACCAACGCCTAGGTCACCCTCAGCTATTCAGCCTTCCACGTGGTTTCCAGAAAGGCAGAAGCCCCAGCAATAGCTCCCTGGCCTGTCCCTTTGGCATTAGCTCTACCTGCCTTTGTCAAGGCCACTTATTTTCCACAGCCCTCTGGATCTGCTTGACATGTCCTGGACCAACTGCCCTCCTTATCACAGTGAAACCAGAGTCCCTCATCCTTCCCTTCACCGTGCCTCAGTTCCTCCGTCTGTAAGAGGAGCACAAACAATAGGACCAACTGCACTGAACTCTTCGAAGGAATAAAGCAGTTAAAAGTGTCAAGTGCTCAGGACAGTAAGGAGCCAATAAGCACGGACAAGGATTATTTAAAGAGCCAGTTTAAGAGAACTGGGCGGTGCTGAAGCCATGAATTCTTTCCTTTGAAAGGAGACCCCGTGGCAGTCTCACGTCGGGGCACTCACCTCCCATTCCAGACGGTGGCGACCTCTGCCGGGTGGGGTGCTCTCTCAAGGTATCTGCGCGGGAGCATCAGGGGAGAACTCCAACCCTTAGATCCAAAGAAACACGAAGAATATAGCCCGCTCTTAAGGGCCATGCCCATTTTGCTTCCCTTGACATCTTCCGAGCAGTAGCGAGGGAGTCCTAGCTTGGGCCCAATTATTTGTGGTACGGGAGGACTTCTGGCTGCCCTCCGAGCACCCCCTGCTAAGTCTGGGGACAGTAAAGGGTGCGGCTGGTGCAGCAGAACGGAGAGATGGCCCGGGGGCCCTGCTCACTGGCTTCTATGCAGAGAGAGACCTCTCGTCGGACAATGGTCAAGGGAGGAAGATTCCACTGGGGTGGGTGGGGGGCTCTGGTCATCTATGGTGCTCCTGGGATAGAGGGACCCCAGGAGGATGCCAGAGCTTCCACTTGGCGCCTGGGCCTTTCCGGGTCCCTAGCACGTAATTCCTTCCCGTCTCCTGCCCAAACCCACCCGCCAGAAACCCTGTTCCGCATCAGGGGGCTCCTCTGGGCTTTTCCAACAAGGTGGCTTCGCCATGGGGCCCTTCTTGAGCAATCCTGAAAGGTAGGAGAAGGAAGAAAAGAATGGGGTGGGAAGGAAGGGAAGAATGGGATGGAAATGTCCCATCTGCGGACGGAGCTGGGGATGGGGTGGGAGGAAAGTCTGTAGAAGGGGAGGGTTTAGAAACAATCCAAGGTGGGGAGCAGATAAAGTCCATCCAATGGACTATGGTTTGGCAATAACAAGAAAGGAGCTGTCAGGCTATGAAGAGACACAGAGGAACTTTAAACGCAGGTTGCTAAGAGAAGCCAAGCTGAAAAGGCTACAGACTGACTGACTGCAACTATCTGGCCTTCTTTTAGAAAAGGCAAAACTAGGGAGAGAGTAGAAAGACCAGTGGTTGCCAGGGGGAGGAGGAGGGATGAATAGGCAGAGCACAGAGGATTTTTAGATCAGAGAAAAGTAGATATAGGTCTTTATACGTTTGTTGAAACCCATGGACTGTACAAAGAGTGAACTCTAAAGTAAACCGTGGACTTCAGCTAATAACAATGTACCAATACTGGTTCATCAGTGGTAGCAAATACACCACACTAATGTTAACAACAGGGGAAACTCTACAGCAGAGTATGGGACCGCTGTGCTTTCTGCTCTGGTTTGCTACAAACCTAAAACCACTCTTAAAAATAAAATCTATTAATTAAAGATGGCAAAAACAAGAAAAAAGCAAAACAAAACAAAACCCAAGCCAAAACCGTCCCCCCAAAAGCAAAAACCAAGAAGGTTGGGGCTAGAACAACAGCTCCCCCCTGCAGACAGGCTCCCCTTTGCAGACAGCCTCCTCCCTGCAGACAGGCAGGCTCCCCCCTTCAGACAGACTGGCTCCCCCTGCAGACAGACAGGCTCCCCCTGCAGACAGGCCTCCCAAGCAATGCCTTGAATGTTAGGAGCCAAAGCCAGGACCCACTCTGTGTTTGAGATGTGGGGGTTGTGTTCCGCTCCCCCGCCCACCTCAAACACCATGACCTTCATTAAGGTCATTTAATTGGATTTATTTTCCCTTCCTCTCACTTAAGCCTGTTCTTTCCTTAGTTTGGGGGCAAAAGCCAATCTGGCTAAAAGGATTTGGCGCAGCTGGCTGGTGAATGCTGGTGGAAGTTTGTGCTTTAGATTGAGGCACCGAAAAAGGTCTGCTCTGTTGGGAAGCACCCTTTCCTCCCTGCCACGCCTTTTCCTTCTAACTGGAGTGCTTTTGGTCCAGGCTCATTCGTGCTTCCGATGGCATAGTCTGAGCCCAGGGGAGAGGCGCTACTCACCCTCCCACTGGAGATGGTCCCTCAGAGCGGCACGGCTGATGCCCAGGCACCCTTGGAGCGCCCGGAGGACTTCCCTCCTGGGCCCACGATCAGTGATGCTCCTTGGAGCTGGGTGGTCCAAAAGATGGTCTTTGGTGGAAAAGAGGCCTCTTTCACTGCATCTGGTCCCAGCCCCAAGCCACTGGGTTCACACTGTGTGGTGACAACAGTTTCTGGGTACTGGTCCACACCAGGTTTTCAGCGTGGAGGGAGGAATAAACCCTCAGCTTCCATGGTGACCTGGAATAACTCATAATCTAGGCTCATGATTCACACATTCACTATCAGTGTTGCTGCTTTCATGGCATTGGTGTTGGCAAGCAGAGAATGGACACGTGGGCACGGGCTTTTGGGCTGGGTTTGGATCCCATCTATTTACTTACCGGTTATGTGACCTGCAGAAGGTTAAGCACTCTAAGCCTTGGTTTCTTTGGCTGTAAAATGGGTGTTATAATCTGGTCTCACAGGAGACCTAAGGGAGAACCACACCAGCTAAGGGAGGGGGTATCTAGTGGCCGTTAGCGTGGGCATGTCCCCCTGCCCACCCCCCAAGCCCCACAAAAATGAACCCTCTTTCAATACTCCCAGGCTTAGCTTCCTGTAGACCCAGAGTCAACAGATAGTCCTCAGAATCGTAGGGCGGCTCTGGGCTAGGAATCGGATTGAAAATTAAAGTGGGTGGGGAGGGAGGGCAGAAGTGGATCATTCTGAGAGAATTCTAGTCCAGCACCAGGGAACCTATGCTGAATGTCCGGGGGCACAAATGGTGCTCGAGGTACAAGACAGTCTAGCAGGGGTCAGAAGATGAAGAATAGGCTAGGAGGGAGAAGGTCATAGAAAGATGTTTTGGTGACCTCAGGGGATCGACAGGGGTGTAAGAGGCATCTCTGCGAAGTGGGGGGTGTAAAGGAGCAGGCTCCCTGGACCACAGCCTCACAGAGGCACTGGAAGTGGGCACAGAACACCCGCAGCTCAGGAACCCACCCCCGGGACGCTCACTGCAACCAGGCAGGTTCATCTCTGTTTATTTTTTCAAAACAAAACTAAAAGTCACCACTCAAAATATTTGAGAAGAGTGCTCAGCTCAATCACAGTTAAAAGCTTTATGCAATCTGCTGCCAGAGCATCATGGACTGGTGGTCAGAAACGAGCGCTTCTGGCATGGCTCAGACCCGGCCTGGCGGCCTGAGACCGCCCTCTCTTGCCCGGTCAGCCCCATTAGGGTTCTGTGCACGCTGCCACCCAAGGGCAGCAGCTGGCCCGCGTATGCAGAGGGGGACGGCATCCCCAGATTACAAGACATCTCGGTTCCCCACTGTGCTTCTGATGGACCAAGAACGTCCACAGAGAAGGCAGGCAGGTCGAGGCCCAGGGGCTAGTGTCAGGCTGAAAACCAAAACCGCAGTTCTGGCTCTGCGTCTTCACCTAGAAGGGTGAACTCCCTCGCCTGGGGCCCTCCAGGCTCAGAGGGGGAGAGACAGACTGGGCACCATCATCGCTCGAGCTTAATGTGGGCTTCACTTCGCTCCAAGGGGACCCCGTTGCCATTCCGAGGGCCTTCCTTCTTGTTCCAATCCTTTTCGGTGTACAACTCAGCCAGCACGGGGCAGTGCTCAGAAGCCACTCCGCCCCAGGACCAGTTATCTGGAATCCAAGGGTTCGTGAGGCCTTCTCTCACTACGGCCCAGTGACCTGGAGGGAGAGGGAAGAGAGACCCAGCTATCAGGCCTGGGGCCAGGGGGGACCATGGGCTGGCGGGTGGAGGCCTCTGCCACAGCTCTGCTAGCCAGGATGCCCTGACAATACCCCTCAGATACCCAGCCTGCCGGGGCAAACGTCAGCAGCAAGAATAAATATCTGATGCAGGGTCAAATGTCTCTCAATGATGTGATAGCTCATTGCGGATTTGATTTGCACCTCCCTGATGATGAGCGATGCTGAGTGTCTTTTCACGTACACGGTGACATTTTTTCCAAAGAAGACATACAAATTGCCTATTCAGTTCTTTTGCTCATCCCTGAACCTGACTTTCTAGAACTTCATAGCAAGGGGACCGGTGAAATGACTTCTAACTTCTGTTTGGCCCTGTGTTCTCTTCTGATGAGAGCATGCCCTCCTGGCACCCCGGGCCAGCTGGGGCCGACCTCTGGCCAGCCGTGCCTTTCAGCAAACTGCGTCTCGCCTAGTTGGATGATCGTCACTCCCCCTGGGACCCACTTCCTTCATCCTTCAGACCCACACCCAACACAGTCCAACAGGAAAGCAGCACCCAGAGAGAGAGGTGCAAGAAGCTGGTGACATAGTCTGGACTGGAAATTCTGCTGCTAAGGATCTCAGGCCTGGCTGCCCATGAGGCGCTCTCAGGTCAACTCCAGAACTGATACTTTCACACATTGTCAAAGTCTCACTGAAGTATAATATGGATAACATGTTGGGCTTTAGCAAAGCAGCCAGGCAGGATTGAGAACCACGGTTCCTGTCCATCAAAAGACATTACCTGTCACTGTCCTATTTCTGACTAATTGTTTCCTGACCCAAAGTCTGCTCGGCAGCTTACTGGGTTGGGGGTGGCAGGGACTGCTTCGTAGCGCTGAGATTACCCACTGCACCCTGGTCCTCATGCGGTCCGGGTAAAGCACGCAGAGCATCCTGGGAGGATGCTCAGGATGCTCTGAGAGGTGTCTGCTCATCCTCAACGGCTGCTTCTCGGGGCACCGACAGCGGGTCAGGAAACCACAGGCCACAACACAGCGCCTGCATGTGACGAGGCTTGAGGAACGCTTGCTAAATGACTAAGTGTCCTTAAAATTACAGTAAGCTATTGGCTCGTCTCAGAATCGGTACTCTACTGGCCTAGAACCAGGTTTGCCCCTGCTGAAGATCAGTGAATGCCTTTTAATAATTTTTCACAGCCCCCCTTCACTCTTAAGAGTGGCTCTGTTTGAATGATAGTGACAGAGGTGCCTAAACCCTATGTAATCCTGTAAATGCCCACAGAGGAGGTAACAGAACTCCCGACCAGAGTTATCAAGCCAAAGGATCTGGAACTGTCAGTTTGGACAAGTCTTTCTTATTCCATTTCTGAACAGGAGAAAGACTGAGTGACCTCTGCTTTACCTGTGAAAACCTTCTTTAAGCTTTTACTGATCCAGATGTTGTCCAGAGACTTTGAGCCTTGGGGATTCTTGGTGCTGATGTTGGTGAAGGTGTGCGCAGGGACCAGGTGGTAGAATTTTTCTTTCCTCAAGATATCATAGTCACTGCTGTCAGGACCCTGGCCAAAATCCCCTAAAAAAATCATGTCTTTTTCTCCTGCAGGAGGAAGAAAGAAGGATCAGGCATTTAGGAGGCGGAGGGAGGTAAACCCAAAATTGATCACAGCCCACAAATTGGGATCTCGAGTCTCTGATTGGACTCCCCAGGGTCAGGAATGCATCTGTTGCTCATTCTTCCAATTTTTCGAAATACCTTGTGCAACAAAAAAACAAGAAAACCCCCAACATACCACAAGACTCTAAGAGTAGGTTAGTAACATATTTGGAAAAGGGGAGCTATGTGATGCAGAGATCACTCCTGTCCCAGCTCACGTGCTCCAAATCTCATGGAAGAAAAAGCCCGAGGGTCTCGCCTGGCTATTTAATAAGAGCTTGACAAACATTCATTGGGTACAGTGGGGAAAATCGTGCAAAGATACAAGACGGTGGCCATCTACAGGTCAAGGAGAGAGGCCTCAGGAGAAACCACCCCTGCCCACACCTTGTTCTCAGACTGCCAGCCCCCAGGACTGTGAGGAAATACATTTCTATTGTCTAAGCCACCCAGACTGTTGTATTTTGTTATGGCGGCCCTAACTGACTAATACAGGGCCAGAGTGGAAAGGTTTTCTCTTTAAAGTATTTCCAACATTTCTACCATTGTTGGATGTACACGAGAGTAAGTGGAGTCATCATAAAGTATTTCCCAGATGGAGCAGACATTCTGAGAGGACAGTGGACCCCAGCTAAGCTCTGGGATTCCCATTGTCTCTGCCTAACCATCACTTCCGGTCTCCAGGTTCCCTCAGGGGAGCCACATTATTGTGGGGAGCAGCGTTCCCGTCCTAACTTGCAAGGGAGGTTTTGAGGAAAGCAGTTCATGAATGAGAGCCAAACGTATCTGAGACACTCAGCAAATCATTTTCCTGGACACGAATAGGTTGCAGCAATATTAGCTAGAGGCAAAGAAATCTGACATGAAATGACACAAGCTACCAGCAGAGGGCACTCGTGCCCTGCAGAGGTCACCCCCACCACTAGAGGCCAGGAGGGACAAAAAGGGGATGGGAGGGAAGACTCTTGTGGCCCCACTGTGTGGCCTACAGAGATGTAATGGTACCTCTACGCGATATCTCAACGACCTTGGTGCCCACAGCAGGGCAAGCTCACGCTGTCTTGAGAAATCAGTGCCGACCTCAACAGGAAAAGACTTGAGAACAACTCCTACCTGACCAGTGCTAATGCCCGTCCATGAGCCCTCACCTGGTATTGGGTCCTCTCCACAGGTAAGGAGCTAAGTCTCTGAGAGGCTGAATGGCTTGCTCCAACTCACCAGGCCAGCCCTCAAGTCCAGTGCTCTTCACAAAGAGCTAGAACGGAAGAGCCACGAGGACATGGGTGGCTGTTCTTCACAAAAATCCCACGTGCCTGGAACAAGGCCTGCTGCATGGCAGACACTCGATAAACACGTATGCAATGACTGGATGAATGAGGCATGAGGAAAACGCCAGAATTAAGATGTACTTTTTGAAAGGAGAGAATGATGCTATATTTATTAAATAACAAGAAAAACTGAACGTTATTAGAAAAGAGGCAGAAGGTTCCCATATAATGAGAGAAGTTTTCATTGGGAAGCAGACCTGAAAAAGTCTGGGCCAAAAAAGCCAATTCTGAAACTCGGAGAGATGCTGGTGTCAAAGGTCAACAAAGCCAGCTCTCTGTGTAACTTCAAGAATGAAAATTAACAGCTCTCTTTCTGAATGGGCACAGCCAGATCTACGACTCATCTGCTTTCCATTAAATTGGTGTCGCTGAGGACATCGACACGGTCCTTGCCTCTGAGAATCCACAGGTGCGCAGAGAACTGAACTCTCCTAGAAAGCCATCTGCCTGGGGTGGGCTCCTTGGTTCCCAGGAGTAAGGGGAGAACACTTGGGGCAGATTTCCTCAGACAGTCCCCAGATTTGCAGAATGCCAGCGACAACAGCAGAAGCTGGTCCCCACTGAGGGATGGTCCAAGCCAGATGCCAGGCATGACGACACACCGTGTTTCACTCTAGTGGAGTTCACAGAGTGAGTCCCGGGGTGGCGGGGGAGCAGAGGGTCTGAAAGAACACTCCATCAGAGGACTCGCCCATACACTCATGTCAACCCAGATACACATTCCAGACCAAGGCAGAAAGGCCTAGAGTTTGCTAATCAAATCGCTTCTGTTTGCTCTGACAGAGAGGCTATGGGATAAAAAGCTCAGTCTTTGTTTTAGCCCCACCACCTCTGCTAATAATCGATTGGCCCCTGCACCTTGGGCAGGCTGGAGTGCTTCCTGAATCCTTGGGCCTGCTGTGTCACCTATTAACTGGGTATTTGTTATAAGCACAAGGACGCAGGGAACATGAGTCACCGTCCATACCAGGACAAGTCAAGGTGAGACAGGCTGGGGATCAATAGTCCCCTTGGCAACTTGGCATAATAACCTGCTCACTCTCTGGGTGTCAGAACAAAACAGTGAGAAGTTACCAGAGAAGTTATGAACCGGCATTTTCCCTTTCTGCTTCCGTGTACAGACAAGGACGAGCTTGAGGTGGAGAACAATAGAAACGTCCAGAGATGTTAAAGGCTATCAGGTCATCCTTTTTAATAGGTTAGAAACTAACTGTGGGTGAACAATTTCCCACAGAGATGCTTCTTGGGTGGAGTATCTCATCTTAAACACCTTTCTGACTTTTTTTAAGCCCCACAACTCCTCTAAGTGAAGTAGAACACTGGCCACAGCACATCCTGGTTCAAAATGTAAGTTGCCTGTCAATGTTCAGAGCAGCACTACTCACAACAGCCAGAAGACCATGAGTAGATAAACAAAATGCGGTAGAGACAGACAATGGAATAAACAGTATTTGGCCTGAAAAAGGAAGGAAACTCTGACACAGACTACACTGTGGATGAACCATAAAGACCTACTGTAAGTGAAGTAAGCCAGCAGCAAAAGGACGAATACCGCACGATTCCACCTGGCGGAGGTCCCTGGAGTAGTCGAATTCATAGAGCCAGGAAGGAGAAGGGTGGTCACAGGGGGCTGGGGAAGGGGACAGCGGGGAGTTCATGCTGAATGGGCACAGAGTTTCAGTTTGGAAAGATGAAAACGCTCTGCAGACAGATGGATGGCATGGTGGTAAGACCATGTAAATGTATTTAAATGCCACCGAACCATACCCTTAAAAATGGTCAAGATGGTAAATGTCACGTCATACATACTTTGCTACAACCAAAACAACTTTTTAAGATGTAAATTTATAATGTGACCAAATTATTTTTATAGCTGGATGCTCGTGAATCACCCATGGGAGGGGCCCATCTAACATGCAAAAAGCTTAGAAAACGAGAGAATTTTGGTGAGCGTGGAAGAGAATTGCAGGCCTCCAGCTGGAAACCCTCACCTAAAAAAGGGCAGGGCTCTGAATAACCAAGCCAAGCTGACAAGAGCCCAGTCGTCACAGCAGCGGCAACTTTTCCTTCCGGTAAACCCCGCACATGAGAACTTTCTGTATCACTGGGGCAGAGCCTGAGTGATAACCCAGAGACCCAACTCCCTCCTGAAGCTCTGCTCTTCTCAGTGTTCTGGTATTTTCTGAGTCAGTTGCTGTCTGCTGAGCCCCTACTATGTGCCTGGTTTGTCCATGGACAGTCACCGAGCCCACCGGGCGCCCCTGGGAGGTCAGCACCAGCCACCCCCTGACCAGATGGGCTTCAAGTCGTGTGGGGGCTCGCCTGAGGTCCTACAGCTACTGAAAGAGCCAAGATGAACACCCAGATTTCCTGAGAGTGCCGGGGCTCCTTCAGAGTGACCTGCATCCCATCAGGGAGAAAAAGCCTACTTGTGCTCATCAGGACTTTCCCAGTCCCCTGTCACCCACGGTCTCGCTCTCACAAGATGAGCACGTGCAAGTCTGCGGGTGGTACCACCATAGCAGCAGCTGAACCAGGAGGACTGGTCACAAAGGAAGGTGTCATCACTCCCCCCGCCAAATCCTTTCCATCAAAAAGAGGCTAGAGGAGTCCCAAAGCCGATACCACAGGGCATGCATGGTAGGCCCGCTGAAACAAAGATGTCACCATGCACAGGGGTGGCAGTCTTCTGCACCCTCAGTGTGCACTGTGGCTGACAGCCGGGTCAGCCTTAGGGATTGGAGAGATGCTCAGAAGGAGCAACCCCAAGCCTGCCCTCCAGAATTTGGGAGCTATTGGCCCAGCCATGGAGAAAGAGCATTTCCTACCTTTCAGGGTTTCCTGCAAGGTCTGTACAAAGCCAGCCAAACGGTGGCTGTCACTGTGATTCCTGCTAGGATTCTCGCCCCCTGGGAGGGTCAAGGCCGCCAGGTGAAGGTTCACAAGGGTCAAGTCATTACTTCCCACCTGAGGCAAGAGGAAACAAAGCAACACGGACAGGCTTAGATGTTCATATTTCCTGTATTCATTACTTCCGACTTACAAGCAGCTTCTTGCACGACGTTGACAACAGTGAACACAAACCAGAGTGGTCCACATGCCAAGAGCTAACGCAAGGTGGTTCAGGGTTAGATTTTTTTCTGAGGCACCTGGAGGACCAAAACTTACCCTGTTCTATCAGTCCACCCTCCTACATCACATCCTCTACTCCAACTTAGAGTCTGGAAAACCAGGCACATCTGGAAATGTCACGTTTTGGTTTTTTTCCTTTTAAGCAATGACAAGGGAGGAGGCGGAGGCTCTAGCAGCTGGTCATTAACCAAGACTGGGTTCTCACCCTCTAGGGCCCACCTGGGATCCCTCTGCCAGGACGCCCTTCTGGGACCCACCTCCTTCCCACCCCCTCACTTGTTCCCCTCCAGAGACCGCTCTGCTCTGATGTTCACTTTCACCAGATTTCAAATGTGTCAAACAGGGAAGCTGGTTGCACCTCGGCAGCACAGACTATGCCCAGGCCTGCACCCTCAGGGTGCGTGTGTGCCTGCCATGGCGGGCAGGTGCCCCCCCTGCCCAGGGTGCGTGCCACAGCGGGCCGATGCCACCCCCCCGGATGCGTGCCACGTGAGCAGGTGCCCCCCCAGGGTGCGTGCCGCGGCGGGCAGGTGCCCCCCGCCCAGGATGCGTGCCGCGTGGGCAGGTATAGGAACATGCAGTCAGAGCTGGTCTGAGCACGGCAGCATTGCTCAGCTGCTCGGGGTTTGGCGGCAATCCTGCCCTTCTGTTTGTCATGGTAACAAACACAACACTGCCAAGGAGGAAGGGGGTGCAGGGGGAGCCCCCAGGAAGTGGAGGCTGCCAGTTTCATCTTACACATATGACCCCAGTTTGCCCACCACCACCCAGCCTGGGGAGCTCTCTGCAGCTGTGGCTCTGACCACAGAGGAACCACCGTGAGGCCACAGGCAGGGAAACCCGGCCGGGGGGTGGGGGAGGTGCTGGAGACAAGCCCCATCTCCATACCATACCACCTGTCAGCCTAGAAGGGGACAAGGACAGGAGGCTGAACTCCTGTCTGGGCCCTTTGAAGGATCTGGGCCAACAACTGATGAGACGTAGCATTTTCTCATTGGCCACTAAAAACAGCCAGCCTGTGAGAGACACTGGTTGGTCTGGCTATGGCCTCGCCAGGTCAGAGCAAGCATCACCACCCACTGTGGTGTTAGGAGGATCTAAAGAGGATAACTGGCTGATTTTACACATCAGTCTCCTAAGCACAACCTGCAGACACCCCTAGGTGTGTGTGCACACACAGAACCTCAGCAACTTTGCAGCTAGGGGCATGAGCTTGGGCTAGACTCCAACCAGAGCAAACACGGCGCCCAGAACATGGGCTGCCCCAGCCAGGGGCTGCCAGAGACCGTGCTGTGGCTTGAGGTAACTCTCAGGCTCCAGAACTGCTCTGGAGCACACAGAAGGTGGTCCTCAAACACCCAGCAGGTGGCTTGCTAGGCTCTGTGGCAAGGGCCCACGCCTGCCCCGCCCTGTGATTTCCCCCTGTAAGGGCCTGGGGGATCAGGTCAATTGAGTGCCGACTGGGTGATCCGGTGGCTGCTGGCTTCTTTTTCCTCCTTGTGCCCCGCTTCTGAGGGTTCGCTGTTCAGGAACACTCCCCAGGGACAGCCAGGGGAGGGCTCATCTGCAGAGGTCAGGGGTGGGGTTGCCCTGGCCCCACAGCCCAGAAGCTCCTCTTGAATCTCCTCTGAACCCAATGGCCCCTTGAGGGTCAGCCCCTTCCCCCTAGCAAGGAGAAGAGGTTCTCCAGACAAGCTCTGCTTCCTCTAGTCCGGTGATTTCCAAATGTCAGAGGGATGAAAAAGCTCTAAAGGGATCTTTGAAAAATGGGCAGTCCTGGGCCCTAGCCCAGAAATTCCGTGTGTTTGGGGTGAAGCCCAGGAATCCCCGATTTTAAGAAAACCTCCCCAGGTAATTCTGATGTGTGTTAGGTTTGGGAACCAGCCACCTGCTCTCCTTCCTGTCCAGACGCCAGAGTCATCAGAGGTAGAGTCCCCCAGAATCCTTCTCATTCCTGCCCTGGACAGGTTCATCAGTCAAGGGAACCCCAAGAGTACATGCTGACCTGACCCTGGGAGAGAGTAGATGCTGCTGCTCTGGATCACAGTTTAGAAAGGGACCCCCCCCACCCCGACCCCATTTTAGAAGTAGACCTTCACAGCAACACAACGGTACCTTGAACCGCGCAAGGTACAGGCTGGGCCCCATCGGCTTCCCGTGCCCATTACCAGGCGAATTTTCCTGCGAGGTAGCATCTCTCAGCTCTACCCCGGCTGCAGCATCCCACAGGAATCCAGAGAACCCGGCCCCCTGCAGGAGAAGAGGAGGCATCAGTTTGGAGACCAGTCTGTTTTGTGGCAGGGCTCAGCCCCGAGCTGGCGAGAAGAGGCAGGAGAAGCCAGGAAGAGACAAGGGGGGCTCTGCACTGGGTCCTGAGATCACATGCACAGTGCCTGTTTCTGAAACACAAGCATACCCCAAAAGCCACAGTGCGTTCCTCCTTGCTTCCCGCCCCAAATTTCCCACGCTGCCGATTTCAGGGTTTTAGGCGCAGCTATGGTGCTTGGGCTCTTATCTTTAGGGGAGTGAAGGGAGGGGAAGCCCCGACTAAGCACAGAGTTATCTTTTTAATCATCACATCCCATGAGATGGGCACTCACAGCCATGTCCACCAGGCAGGGACTCAGCTGCTCAGAGAGGTTAAGTAACTTCCCTCAAATCCCACAGCTGGTAAACAGCAATGTTGAGATTCAAACAGAAGACTGCAAAGGGCTGGCTTTGCTTACTGGTTAGTTGCAGCTTCCACATATGTTTGCTGGATGGATGGAGGTCAGTGCTAACAGTCCCCACGGTTTAGAACCAGTCAAGGGCACTCTGCAGGTAGACAGGGCCCACACAGGGGCCTCCAGCCCGGGGACAAGGGCCTGTGAGGGCCAGTGGGTGGTTGCAGGAGTGTCCTGAGGTCTGGTGCTAACCGCTGCCAACTCTGGCTGCAGATGGGCCACTCTGAATCTGCCTGCTTCTCGCTGCTGTCCCTTCTGGAAAGAGGAAAAGCTTCCTCTCCCCACTCTATCCCAGCGTCTGGAGGCTCTGCTGCCGGAGATCAGCAGTAGGATCTGTAGGCATCGCTGGAGGGGCCAGCAACACGTATTGCTAAAGGAGAGGAAGGGACTCTGCGCAACCTAAGTGACCTGTGCCGAGTCCCAGCGTCCGCACTGGTCCAGCCCCATGCCTTGCTGGGCTCAGCACCTCCACTAGACCAACTCGTGGTGAGGAGGAGGGAAGGAACAAACAGGGAACCGTGTTCTGCATGCTGTGCACTTTGAGATTTATAACCACAGGCCTGCCCGCTCCCTGGAGAGAGCCCCAATTTAAGACCTGGAAGACCCGGATCTCAGGGCCACCTGTGTCACTCCGCCGTGAGACCACAGAGCCCTCCATTTTTCTAAATGCGTTTCCTCGGGTATCAAGTGACAGAAGTGGGATTTGCCCTTTCCACTTTGGAGGGTCATCTTCCCATTTACTGTTTCTCAAGCAGAGGTGGCAGAGTGTACCTTCCTAGTGTACCGTGTAGGTGGTCAGCTCTGCTTAAAAACCTTCCGTGGCCACTGCCCAAGGAGCCCTCTAGGTAGGCACCGGCCTGTTCAGGCTGCCCTTCGCACCTGCTCACCGGTGTGCCCAGCAGCACCAGGCACTTCTGGGAGCCTCTCCCGATCCCCTGGACCCAGGCGGCCCCTGGCTCTGGAAGAACTGTCCCACCTCCACGTGGGGCAGCCGGAGATCTGGGTGTCAGCGCCAGAGCGCCACCTGGGCTCGGGCCTGACCCCACCGTGGGGCAGCTAGAGGACGGGCAAGTCGTTTTGTCGTACAGAGCGCGGTTTTCTCATCTACAGACACCCCTCCAGCTGTGGGGCGAGGACTGGAGACCTGAACAGAGGCTGCCACTTGCCCACAGTTGTCCAGGGGAGAGATGGGACGTGTGGGACTCGCAGACACAATTTGCTAAACAGCATTTAAAAACGCTTTAGCTTATGTGTCCATATTTAAAAGCCAGGAAATTTCACATTAAAATCTAGGTATTTGCATCTTTTGAGAGATCGGGAGATTTGTCCACACGAGGCCCACCAGCCTCCATGGCAACAAGGGTGTGATGAGCCAACGGCAGCCTGAGACAGGTATATGGACCTCCAGTCGGCACAGCCTGGCCAGCCTGCCGCCTCATGCGGGCCCTGGCCTGTGTTTGGTTAATGGGGCATTTCAGTGCACATGATCTTTTTAAATCCTACAGCAACCCAGTGATTGACTGAAGGAAGGGGAGAGTGCTCCCATTTTAGAGATGAAGGAACTGAGGCTGAAAAGTTGAAGTGGCTTGACCTTGGGTCTCCTTGCAACTCTATACTATCTTCCAATGGCCTTGCCACCCCAACCTGGAGTAGGGGTTCCTGCCTCATGCCTCCAACAGGCTGTGAGCTCCTGAGGGAGGGCCTCCATCAGCTCGGAATGGATTCTTGCCCTGGGCTTGCAAGGACTAAGAACAAGGCAGGGCTGGGTTCCCGGGTCTGTTTTTCTCACAGATGTGTATCTGCATGTGGCACAGGGTCTGGCATGTGGTAACCTTTCTGATGATTTCTCAGTGGATAAACAGTGTTAAATGGACTATGAGAGCCTAGTGAACCTACGTATGTATAAAGTGCTATATATATATATATTTTTTAAAGAAGGCGAGGTGGTATTATTTCTATATGGACTGAGAAGGGACAGCCATGGGCTACAGAGGTGAAGACTAGATATGTCCCAATCTGGCTTAATTTCCAGCCTATGGGGAAATGGACGTTGGCTGTCACCTATAGTAACCGTTTACACTCCAGAACATAAAACCCAGAGAAATCAGATTTACATCACATTTTTAAGTAGTAGCTTTAAAAAGAGAGCTTATTGTCCATACATGACTGGATACTTTTAATCCAGTATATATTTATAATTTAAAAGCCTCACATCTCACTATCACTCACATAAACACTATTCCTGTGTGTTTATAAACATGTTAGGTATACTAGAGAAAAAAAAACAGCGTGTGCGTTTATAGAAAAACCATGTAATGACAGTTTGACTCATGATGAACTATTAGAAGTCTATTTTAAAATCTAAAACCCCACTAATATCGAACATTCCAAGTGAGGAAAAATCAGTCGTGAATAGATCTGTAAGAGTGAAACGTATCCCTTCAGCCATTTGCCACAGCCACAGGGGATATACCAACGAAAGAACATTCAAAATGAAAATCTGTTCAAAATGTCCACAGAACATTTCCATGCGTACAATCTCTACCACTGAAAGCTGATGCTTCGCGTATGAATTAAGCAAATCTGAAGTTTTCAGTCAATGAACAATGGGCTCTCCACACACTTGGCGGAGGATGGAACTGTGGAGACGGGATTAAGAAGACAAAGGACAGAAATACCCCATTTGCAGCCTTGGCTCCAGACAGGATTTTTCCTCTCCTCCCAACACCCTAAACTCCCATTTCCATCTGGGCAGCGGTCCATTCCCGAGCTAAACGTGAAACAGGAACCAGGGCATTTTGAAATGAATGGCAAGGAGCTAAGAAATGTGCAGAAACAGAGAATTGCATCAAGGATGTTGGCAAAGGAAATTTGTAAATGCCTGTGATTAGGGGAAAAGGAGGTTGCAATAAGATGCAGATAAAATCCAGGTTTTTGCAGATGGAGGGTACCTTCTGGAGCTGAGTGGAGGGCATCTCAGCAACAACGGCCTTCCAGCATCCCCGAGGCCCCTTCCACTTGCGGATGTTGGGCAGGATAGGCTGGTTTAGCTCCGTACAGAACTGCAAAGACAGAGCACAAGTCGGTGTGTGTGTGTTCCTGCCTAAAGCACCTGCAGCCAGTGGCAGCCGGAGGGGCCAAGAAGTGCCTGAACCGGACTCATCGGCCTTTTTCAGAGACTTGTCGGACTTTCTCTCTGTGTTCTTAGGGTTTGTGAAGACCCAGAGAACTCAAAAGCCCCACAAATTAAAAAAACAAACTATCCATAAAACACACAATTATCACCCCCCGGGGGGGGCTCTCAGTTCATAGAAATCAATTTTGTAGCACTCTAGTAAAAATAGCTCAAAATGAGTTGTCGGAATCCTTCTTATCCTTGTAAAACCAGTGGTTTCAAGGTCCTGGGGAGCGGGGGCGGGGGGTGGTACAGATGGGGTATCAAATGGGGAGGAAGAAGAATTCATGGTATCTTTTCTCCCTGGAGCCTAGCTTAGAGGTGGCAACACGGACCCCCAGCTTCACCCTGAACTACCGTACTGTTCACCTTGGTGCTCTTCGGAGAAGGAAGCCGTACGGCCATGGATGGTTACCGTGCCCCACGTGTGTGGGCAGGGCCTGCTTCGTTTTGCTTATGTGTGTTCCATGAAGCCACTGGGTCACCAAGGCAAAAGAAAACTGCCCAGCCCAAGGCAATGAAGAGTTAAAAAACCATGTGCTTCAAAATATGTGGCTCAGTTCCTCCAACTCACTCCTCAAACACCACCCAGACTCTGGAGGATGGTCCCCAGAATGGGTCATGCTTGGGTTGAGTTTTTTTTTTTTTTAAAGATTTTATTTATTTATTTGGGAGAGAGAGAATGAGAGACGGAGAGCACGAGAGGAAAGATGGTCAGAGGGAGAAGCAGACTCCCTGCTGAGCAGGGAGCCCGATGCGGGACTCGATCCCGGGACTCCAGGATCATGACCTGAGCCGAAGGCAGTCGCTGAACCAACTGAGCCACCCAGGCGCCCTTGGGTTGAGTTTTTGAGACGTTCCCACATTTGGTTCTGCTCCTTCCTGGTGACATCGTCTGTCTGTCCCTTTGCTTCCTGCACTGGGAGCCATGCCACTCCCCTCTTTCTGTGCCCGGCCCTCCAGGTGTTCTGGCTTCCTCTAGGCACCTCACCACTCTCTCTTCAGTGAGCTGCCCTTAACTAGTCTTACTTGGCTCCTCAGCTTCAGCTTACACTCTGTCCCACAGGCCCCCGAATCTGTCCTACAACTCAGATTTCTCTCCTGAGGTTTGAACAGTATTCTGAGAACTCTTTTCACGTTTCCATCTGACGTTCTCCACGAACCACAAACCCAGCAGGTCCCAAAGAGCCAAGCCGTTCCCCTCCCCCACCCCATTCCTATCTCAGGTCCTGGCATTTCCATCCTTTGCATGGTGTTTCAGAGCCCCATCTTCTGTCGCCTAGGTCACCGGCAGAGCTGCGACGTTCTCCTGCCGCTCGCTCATTCAGTCCCCGTCCATCTGTCCCTGGGTAAGTCGTGATGGCCATGCTCACGCGCTACCCCTGTGGTTCCTCAGGTGTGGCCCGGGGCCCACGAGTGTCAGCCTTACCTGGGAACTTCCGCCAAGGTGGGAGAGCCTCTGCGGCTGTGCAGACCCTCAGAAGCATCTGCTGCCCACGCCCGCGGCGCGGGGTCGGGGTCGGGGTCGGGGCGGGGGTGGGGGGGGCAAGCAGCTGTCAGCCATCAGCCCCCTGCAGGGACAGCCCCACGGCACAGAGCTGCTCCTGGGAGTGCCCTCACACGGCTTATGCCATAAGAGGGAAGAGGAGGCATCCCTCCCTGGGCAAGGGACGGTGGATGACAGGAGGTCTACTTTAGATATGTGCTGTTGTGGGGGTTCTGCTTTGACAGGTACATAATTAAATGTCTGTCTTTTCCTGACCACAGACAACATAAGAGCAGGGACTGTTCCCAAGTCCCCTTTATAAAGCTCACCTGGCACAGAGCATGGCGCCCAGGGACCCTCTCTGAGCATCTGCTGGTGAACCAGGGAACTCCTCAAATCCGTGTGTATGACAAACACTTCTTGCAGCTCCTTATGTAAATAATTGCCTCAATTTGAACCTGACTTTGAGTTTGCCTGAGAAGTGTTCTCTTTGGGATTTTGTCACTGGGGCTTTGATCGGGGCTGAGTGGCTGTGGACAGTGCTGTTCCTAATGGGGCCTTCACCCCAGATGGGTCCCCTTGGCCAGATGGTCCTGGCTGGAAGCCATACTTGGATGGGAAATGAAGCACTTTGGAAAATGCAGCCAGAATGTATTGATGATAACTTTAGGGATCCAGTGAGGAAATGTACTCCACAAAGGTACTCCAATTTCCTGCTGGGGAATCATTTGCTTGCTGAGTGATCATTAGAGCCGAATCCGGGAGTCATTAAAAAGGAGAGCAGCTCCTAATGCCCATCCGGTGCTTCGCTCTTCTCCACACAGGGAGTCCTGCACCTAGATGCTCCCCAGAATCTCCCAGGAAGCACACTGGGGGGAGGGGCTCTATTAGCCCCAGTCCCTGGGGGGCCCCATTGTGCTGGGAAGAGCTACATGTAGGCGCCACAAATCTCATCTTTCCTAACCCTCACAGGGCCTTCAGATACTTGAAGACAGGTGGAGCTCCCGTTCACACAGCAAACACCAGCCCAGCTTAAACATTTCACACTCCTGGCAATGCCCCTTTGATGGGAAGGGTTAGAATGGGAAGATGTCGCTGACACTGTGCTCCATGCTTACCACTCTCTGAGACGACGGCCTTGGGGGGCCTCAAGTCTGCTACTCAACATGTGATCATTAGGATCATCTGGGAACTCATTAAACACGCAAATTCTCGGGCCCCACCCCAACCGACTGAATTAGAAACTCTGGGCTGGGGCCAGGTGATCTGCATTGTAACAGCCTCTCCAGGTGACTCTCACACAGTTTAAAGCTGGTGTTATCGGATGGAGGAAAGACATTCTCCTTTCGTTTTCTACCTAAAAGCCTTTCTTTCACAGGTAAACTGTTAAGAGATTTAAGGAACCATAATTCCTGAACCTTAAGGGCCACCTACACTTTGTACCTCTGAAGCCTTGCTCTTGATAGACCTCTCTCAGCCCACAGAGTTAGATGATCGCCCTCTATGCCCTCTTTTTCAGTAGTTCTTATGTTATTGGCCACAATTAATAGTTGAAGGAACCAGGAAAAAATTGTTCATGGCTAGAAGCATTCTCTGCCCATCTGCATGATCGGCAGTAGGTAAGGGGTAGGACTGTCTTCCATTCCTAGGGCTAAAAAAAGAATTGTCAGTTTGTTAACTTTAGTTGATGGCATTACCAGTTCACAGCAAACCTGAGGAGCACCTCTGAGATTCTTGTACTCAGAGGAAAAAAAAGAGAAATTAAAAAAAAGATTCTTGCTACTCAGAGCGTGGTCCATGGACAGGCAGCGTTGACCTCAGCTGGGAGTCTATTAGAAATGCAAAGTCTCAGGCTCACCTCAGACCTCCTGCACTGAAACAGGCATTTTCACAAGATCCCAGAGTGATTTACAAGTTTGGCAAGTGTGAGAAGCCTGTTCAGAACCTTCCTGTTTTGTATACCTCATCCCTATTAGCCCCCCTACCCACCAGCCCCCATGAGCCGGACAGCCTACCAGTTACTCCCGAGTGAAGGGCAGCATAGAAACGTTAGTTTATGTGAGTTTAGATTCAAGATTACACAGCGGGTAAGTATGAGGGGACGGTCCGAACTGAGGTCTACCTCCTGCTACTCTACCTCCTGGCTGGACAGGTGAACTAGCCGGAGCAGGGCAGGTGCCCAGCGGAGGCCAGCCGCCTTACTGAAGCCTTAACATCCTTTCTCCTAAAAATGTCCCAGAAAAACAAAAGCATCCTCTGAGAGCCCTCAATCTGAACTCTGCCTAAAATTGTTTTATGTACAACAGTTGGTTCTCAAGTTTTCTGCTTCACCCACAGAGCAGAAGGCAGGAATAATACACTCCCAAGTAAAAGAGGCTCACCAGGCCAGAAACGGGTGGAAATGGGGAGATGTGTATGATGGGGAAGAAGTCTCCGAGGTAACTGACCTGCACAACCCGAAACTACCCCTCGCAAATGTGTTTCTAAAATCCCGGGGGTCAGCCCATCCCCTGCCTCCCTCAAAATCACGCTGGTTCTTGTTTTTAACACCACAGATTTGTGAACCTCATCCTTTGCCGACTTGGAATCTCTGAGGTTAGGGCCAATTTGGGCACTACTCACGGGATCTCCCAAGCAATTTTAAAGTTTGAGAAGCTCAGACAAGGTTTGACAATCGCTGATTTTGAACTCAGCCTTCATATTCTTCATACCTGTGGTCTAGAAAGACGGTTTTGACTCTTCAAAACAAACATACCAACTCGGCTGTCACCCCACACTGTGAAAGCATCTGACTGTGGCTCTTCTCAGATAATCCTGGGAGATAACATGAAGGGAGCCGGCTCGCAGCATGGGGCACGGGAGACATGCAGCAGATACTGGCTTAATGAATGAATCAAAGGGATGGCTCTCGAGGATCCCAAGGATGGCTTCTCTCTCCCAGGATAAGTCACAAGAACCACGACAGGCTGGACTTGTTTCTCTAGCCTCAGACCAAACAGGGGTGATATCATTCTTTAGCACCGGCCCCACAACAAGCTGGTTGAGATGGCAGAACACTTGATCATCAACACCACACCCACCCTACTCTTTGGCTCGGCAAGAGGGGGCCTCAAAGTCAGACGTGTTAACTCCAATCTACAAGGTGCCCAAGGTGCTGGCGTTTAGCCATGTCAAGTCCTAAAGGAAAAGAAGTCCTTTGGCTCTGTTTGAGATGTGTGCCTCATCTTGGGTCTGCCCTCAATCAGCTCACTCTGCTTATCTCCGCAGTGACAGGAGGGTTCCAAGACTTGACACCAACCGTGTTTTGTTTGTGGACCTTTGGACTTCTTTTTTCTTTCTTTCTATCCCTCCCCATTCCTGAAATGGCTATTCCTTACTCATCTGGTCCTGAGTGAGAAACA